GGAAAAGAGGCCTGACTAACCTCTGCTCCGGGTAATGGTAAAGGGGCAGAGCACTCCTTCAGTAGCCTATGTTAAGTTATAGCCCAGGGGCTTATGTTGTTTGTAGTTTTATAAGGCCAGTGGTTTGGGTGAGGCTATTTGGGGAAGGAGGAGGCCTCATTGGGGGCCCACAACAGAGTGGAGACCCCAGCGCTAGAGAGGGCATGGCATTTGGGGTGCAGAGACCCTGGCGCCAGAGAGGGCGCAGAGACAGGGCTGCAGAGAACCCAGTGAGGACAAGGGGTGCCAGTGACAGCGCAGAGGCAGGACTGCGGAGAGCCCAGTGAGGACAAGGGGCTGAATTATAATGAGGCCGAGGCAAGACAATGCCAGTATCATTTGCGAGGCTTGGAACATGGTAAAGGGGTGGTTGGAGCCATGTATATAGCCCATAAGGCTAGGGTGCCCCCAAAATACCCATTGTGAGACACGACCCACAAGGGGTCCGGGAACCCACGGGGTTCAGTAAGTCCAAACCGTGTCCAAGAGGACTTAAAGGCAGCCTCCCTATTTTTATATTTTCATCAGATGTGGCGGGTGAGAACTGAGGGTGCCCATCGGGCCCAAATTGGCACGGTCAAGGGGCCTTGGGTGAATATGGCCATCCTTAAGGACCCCATCCGGTGACACACTGATAGAGATTTTTGGGGGTCGATACTAATATCCGATTTTTAAGGAGGCATATTGGCCAATACCAATCTGATTTCCAATACAGCATTGAGAGTCGCCTCCAGCTGGTAATTCTGTTGTGTTGGAAGGGGATGGGGGAGGGAAGGGGAGTGGCGAGGGAGAAGATCAACCTCCCCCTGCTCCGCTGTGAAAGATGGGGCAGGGGCAGGAGCAGGTGCTGCCTGGCTGGGGTAAGCCATGGTGGGGTGGGGCACAGGATGGACCTGTGGCTCATTGGGGGGTGGCTCCCTGGAGGGCACAGGGGGGTGTCCCCCAGATCTGTGCAGAGTGGGGCAGGTGGGCCGGAGCTGCAGGCTGGAGCCGGGGCTGCACCAGGCTCTTCTTACTGGGGCCTGGACTCAGGGCAGGGGCTATAGAGGGGGCTGCAGCCACCCCAGATTTTGCCATAGCTCCCTCCCAGTGCTGCCACCACCATGCGACTGGTGCAGCTCTGGCTCTTCCCGGAGCATGTGGTAAGGTGGCGGTTGAGCCAGGAAGAGCCAGGGCTGCACCAGGTGTGCAGCGGCACTGGGATCTACAGTGAAATTTGAGATGGCTGCAGCCCCTTCTGTAGCCCCCACCCTGATCCCAGCCCCCAGTGAGAAGAGCCCAGCACAGCACCAGCTCCAGGCTGATCCAGGGACATGTGCGTACCTCCCAGAGTGCGTACAGCTGTGGGAGCTGCCCCCTGATGAGCAATGGGTCTGTTCCATGCCGCACCCCACCCCGGCTGGGCAGCGCCTGTCCCTGCCCCTGCCTCCTCCTTCACCATGGGGGTGGGATTGATCTGCCCCCCCTCACACCCCTTCCCTCCCCCTTCCCCTTCCACCTCAACAGACTTACCAGCTGGAGGCAGCACTTCATGCTGCCGGGCTGTGCTCCTCACTGCTTCAGAGCTGCGCTGCAGCTGCGTGTACACATGGGCATTTATTGGCCCAGTTATCAGCCCCATTGGGCCGATTTCTGATACAGCCAATTTTCTTTATATGGGTACTGATTCAATATCATACTGATGTATTAGTGCATCTCTACTTTGAAAACTTTTCAGCCCTGCAGGCAGGCATCAAAGTCTGCTGGTCTGGCTCCCCAGTTATCTTAAGGTTTCATTGCCACTGTTTACCTTTGTATAGTAAGTTCTAGCACATTCATGTTTTAATCATTTTAGTCACAGAGGTTAGACAATAGATTATGTAGGTGCTAGTGTTATCCATCTCCTCCAAGTCTTGTTAAACTTAGTTTATGTATGAAATGTCCTTTGTTTTTTGTTTTTTTTTCTTTGGATGAGATGTGCTGTAGAAATGCAAAATTATTTCTTGGAGAAGTGTTACAGTACTAAAGTATCATATTTTCTCATGCAGTACATGCACCTTTTCACCAAAAATCAACCTCCCCTCCCCCCCAAAATTGGGGTATGTATCTTAAACAGGGAGGCTGATTCTTCTGCCGAGAATAAAAGTACTCTACTTTGATTTGTGCTCCAAAACCAACTGCCCAGCAGCAGCAGTGACATTTCTTTTCAGGCAACTGAGGGAGTCAATTGACTTAATAGCTCATTGTTTTTCATTTCACTTCACCGGTGTTAACGATTGTATCTCCTTTAACTGATCTTGATATTCCACTAATCAAGCTAGCCTTTTTAAGGTCAATGTTGGGGTCTGCTAGTGGCTCCTGGTCTCTCTCCTATTTTATAGCCTTGCAGACCTTTTAACTCTGTCCTTGCTCTATGCACCTATAACTTTAGAAAAATCTTTTTTTCTTCATTCTGCCTTCCCCGGATCAAGGAGAATATTTTATTCCAAGACATGTCGTACGTGAGAAAATACAGTACTATTTCCCCATCTCCACTATAGACTTCTACATCATTTCAGTTAAAAAAGAACCTGTCATACCAATCTGCACGATGGTATCCTCACAACATGATTTCTTCACATGGAGCAAACTATTTCTAAGATTGGTAAAGGCAGCAAAAATAATTCTGGAGCCAATAGGTACCTACACATGTGCCCAGTGCATGCTCCAATGTGTGCTAACTGTAGCAGCACACCTTTGGGCGCTTGCCACTTTAAGGACTGAGGCAGGCAGCTGGCAGGTGCCTGATGAGGGTGGGCATTTTCAAACATAGGCCAGCCATGCAGAGCCAGTAGTTGGCTGCTTGCAATCAAGAGAGCAGCACCATCCATCTCGCTCATGGCATGGACTATCCTGGAGGTAAGGGTAGGAGCTAGGGGGTGGCTTGGAGGCTCCTGGTCCTGGGTATGACCTAAAACTGCACCCTGCCAGGGTAGGGAGGCCTGGTGGGGCTCTGTGTGGTGGGAGAGCCCCCAAGAAGTACCAGGACTGTGAACTGCCTTGGTGGAAGGCGGGTAGGGGTGCCTTAACCCTGGCCACCACCATCTGGTGGGTAATAGTGTGAGCAGGGGGAACAAAGGTGGCCAGGTGCATTAATAGTGAGAAACCTGAGCCCAGCAGGGATGTGAGATCCTGGAGGGCCCAGAATGGGTAGCTTGTGGAGTGGAGTGTGAGGGCCTCTCAGAGTAGGGTGCAGTAAGGGGCACCTGAAGGACTGACTGTGTTGGTGTGCAGAGTAGGGCTGCAAGAGTGGTTTGAAGGACTGCACCAGGGGCGTACTGAGTAGGGCTGTGAAAGCAGCTTGACGGACAGTACATGGGCCAGCCCCAGAAGTATGAGCATGAGAGCAGTTGCCCGGTGAGGGGCTTCGGGCAGAATCAACCCAGGGTTTGGCACAAGGCTAGGCCAGAGTAGGGGAACTGAAGCACTGCGTAGTAGGGACAGTGTGCAAGTAGCGAAGCCTGACAGCCCAAGAGGGGCTGCTCAAAAGGAGTAAGGGCAGTGGAGTGTGGCCCAGTAATGGGCGGTATGCCAGAGGCCCCTGTGAGAGGGGGGTGCAGAATGTGAGAATGAATGGAGCCCAACTATGGACTGAGTTTGCTCCAGTCTCAGACCAGGGAGCAATCATAATCAGGATTCCACCTGCGAGGCATGGGCTGTGGTG